GGCCGCCAACGGCCGCCAACGGCCGCCCCCGCCGGGCCCGCCCTCGCCCCGCGGCCGCGCTCCGAGGCGCAAGGCGCTCTCTCATCCGCGCTTCTCTTAAAGAAGTCTAAAGTGCTCCAGAGCTGCCAGAATGCATCTGCAAACAGAGGTGTGTTATCTGAAGCAAGCCCCGTTGCTCGTTCTGTGCTCAGGGAAGCCGCCGCCTTGCTCTGCTGCTCCTCGATGGCGTTGGCTTCTCGCCCCTGGGGTGGGGAGGGAGGAAAAGGAGTGGAGGGGGCTTCGTCCCGGTGCCCTGCTGACAACACCGGCGGAGAGCTGCCTCATGACATGGTTTTACCGGCCTCTACCTGAACTGCAGTTTATGCGGAGCTGCTTTCCTGAAAGCGCACGTCTCCGCGGTGCAGAGTGTGCCCGGGAACAGGCATAGCGCCAATACCTTCATTTTTGGTGAAAAGGACAACTTCATTTCCTCCCCAGCAAGGAAACGACCTACCCAGGACTGGGCATCTCCTCTGTGATTCCTGTAAGAACCGGTTGGTGGTTTCCCAGATCAAGAGAGCTGTCTGTCCTGGCTGCCTTCTTGGAGTGCCATAGGCCACCCTGACATACAGCCCTCGGAGGAGACATTCATCTCGCTGCACGCATCTGTGCCATCTGAACGCATCTCTTCTGTGATGCACGACCAGCCTTGAGGTCGGAGTGGCAGAACCTCACTTACATGTCCACACATCTCACCTATCCGACTGAAGGTGGCCCTGCTGGGATTCTCCAGGAGAAGCATCTTGGGAGCTTTCTGTGGTTTAGAATATAGTCAAGATAAACACCATCAGTTAATAAATAATGCCAAATAACCAACTCAAAACCCAAATCTGTCCATAGGCTGAGATGCTCCTTCCTTGCTATCTGGCCGTACAGCTGCTGTGACATGACTGATGTCAGCTAGACTAGGTCCTCTGCACTCTAATCTTGCCTTTACATATTTTTTTTCAGCTGGGCTAGCAGTTACCTTCCAGTGGCAAGCGACCCCCGAGTAGTCCACACACCCTCTGCAGGATGGAGTCAATGCCTTTCTGACTAGAGTGAAGCACCTGGAGGATCAGCACGTTGGCCTTGCAAGCAGCCACCACTGCAGGATTGGCTCCTACGTGTCATTTTCTCTGCAGAAGGACTCAAATAAGTGTCCTTCTATCTGTGATGTGCAATTTTGGAAGAGATCCATAAGCAAACTACTTGCTCTGCAGCCTGATTAAGTGAGGTCATCTTGGGCTTTGCTTGAATGTTTTTGTCCTTGCATATGCCCTCCAGGCCTGAATCCCCCATATTTTGCAGATCTTTCTGAATACTGTTGTGAGGCTCATATTTGCTTGATCAGGTCAGTGTCCTGCTAAGATAATTTCTGCTGATATGTCACTTCCAAAAATTCAACCTCTGGATCACTCTCTCCCAGCATATCCCAGGAAATTTGAGTGGACTTTGCTTGTTGCAAACCTCAAATCATATTAATCAGTCCAAAAATCAACTGTAAAAGTGCACTGGGATTGCTGAATCTCATAGCCCTGATGGAAAACACCCCAGTTGTTCACACATAAACAGCGTCAGCGACCTCCTTCTGTTCCTCTGCCTGGCTGGTCAGGATGAAAGCTGTTAGTGGGAGATGTACATGCATACGGGGAACGTGAGTCCCTCCAGTAGCTGCTCTGAGACACTCCATCTACTCAGCAGCTGCCTCTGGCTCCTCGGTCTCTAGCAGTTGGCATCAGCACATGCAGGGCCTCGGCACTCAGCCCCACTCCATTTACCGGTATTCAGGGACATCTAGTTGTAACCGTTCGGTCTACCTAGTAGCTGGCCGCTCCACTCCTCCACCTGGCACTGCCACCTCCGTACACACACGGGTACAAAGAATAGAGAGCCTCCTCACCTAGAGGAAAATGTGGATAAAGCAAATACTACATGTAGGTAGGCCAGTGAAGATCCATGGAATAACCCGTGAGGAACACTGGCTAAGGTAGAACCCTTAATCCACGAGCCTCATCAGTAGCTGTATAGATTTTACTAAGTGGTGCCTGTCTCCTTCTGAAAGTTCCCCTGCTCTCTGGGAGTAGCAGTTTATAAGACATAAATAATGTTTAGGGGGCAAAACTTTAGCCTACTTCCCACACATACAAAGTAACTAGCCAAGTGTAAGATGGTAGAACTGTCTGTGTATATGAAGGTGAGCAAGAGTTTACCCACAGCATTTGCCTCTCACTTGTACACACTTTGTAAGTATTTTAATACATTCTAATGCTCAGTCAGACCTGAATCAACCCACAGTCTCTCTGTGTTTTGTTGCTAGCAGTATGAAAAGAAGTAACACCTGCTTGTTGGCTGCTGAATGCAAATGTACCCTCAAATCCTTTTCATCTGAGTTTGTGTTTACTTAGTAGTTTAGCTGAGTTAGGAGATCCAGGCGCCACTGTAACCTGCGGATGCAAAAGCCTATCCATTCTCTTTAGGTGCTTTTAGGCTTCGTCCAGGGTCTTTTAAAGGCATTTAGGTGTCAAAATCCTACTATATATTTAGCTGCAATGGGTTACTTGTTTATATATTTTAAAATCTTACTAAACACCTCTTGGAAGTTTAATGCACCTAGATGTCTTTAAAGATTTCTCCCTTGGTGGTTTGCCTGATTGCGTCCATGAGATCCATTTTATAAACAGGTTAACATAGGAACACAGCATCAGTTCTGTATGATGGATTTTTTTATTTGTTGTATTTTGCTGACTAGTCTTTTTCTCAGATACCTATAATGCATATAGACTTCTAACCTTTTTCACTCAGTCATATTCTTGTTTTCCTTCCCATCTACTTCATGGCCTGATTTAATATTTAGATTGTGCATTATTTTTTCTATGTGCAACTTAGGATGAAAACTTTCTTAAGGTTTTTATTTGCACATTTCCCCCTTTTTGCTGGTTCAGTTGCTTTTCATGTCTTTTGCAAATTTGACTCAATTTCTGCTGTTCACCCCCCTCCTCCACACGCATACGCAAAAATAGTGAATATATTTAGCCCTGTAAAGTCTGCAAGCTGTCACAGTAGCTAGAGACCATGAGCTGTGCTTTGCAAAGTGGTGTCCCTGGAAGCCTTCTGAACAGTTTACATGACTTGCATTCTCAAAATATCTCTCCCTCCCAAGCATGGGCGCAGAAGATTAAATAGCAAAAGACGTCCACACTTGCATTTTAAGGGAAGTGGGCTGATCTTTATGATCGACAGGACGTGGAGAAAGGATTATTTGACTGCTAGACCTAGTCTGGGTTGGTCTGAGATGTCTGGCTAGCGCAAGCCTAGAACAGTTCATTTTCATGGGACAGCTCTTGCATGCTCTGATGGGAGCTCCGTGCAGTTCTTTGGTGCTCCTGCCAGTCAGCGCCGCAAGGATCATGGCTGCCAGCCTTAGCAGGGATACCGGAGAGTAACGGCGAAGGAAATACTCATATTGCCCTTGCAGAAGCTCCAGCTTCCTTGAAAAGGCTACGGCTTCATGGTCCTGGCAAACTGGAGAAGGCTGCAGGGCCTTGTTTGCAGTCGTTGGTTTCTGGGTAAAGAGAAGACAAAATTCTCCAGTGCTCTCAGTCTTAACCTTTTCTCTTGTATTTCTTGCTCTTGTAAAGGCTAAAGGAAAAAGGGAGATGTACACAATGATGCATTTCACAAGGCAGGATAAAATGTGTAAGGTGCCCATGCTGCTGGGTAGAACGATTTTCCATAATCCACAATAGTAGTCCAGGCAGTAGTCATCTCTGCCACAGGATCAGATGGAAATTTGCTTTAATGCCCTGGAAAAACCCCTGCAAAGTTCTGCTGTATTTAGGTGGTCATATGATGCAATTGTTAAGCTACTTCCTGCTTTTCAGGAAACACATTTGTGTTTATGTCAGTGCTGTTGCTACGACTATTTCTATTTACTTGAGCTTTAAAGGACTATAGAGAAGTTCAGATCATAGCAGAAGGCTTGATATGAACTTGATAGCCACTAGTGCCTTTTTTTTTCTTTTCAGAAGGAAAATATGCTGTATTTTGATACGTTACATTCTGATACATTTTGATATATTTGATACAAGCTGGTTGGCGTTTGTGTTAGCTACCAAAGCCACAAGCATAGCCTACATGGTGGATTCTCTCTGGCAGTTTGTAGCAAGCTATAAATGCCACATGTCCCACTCTAGCCTTGAAGAGGAGAGTCCCATGGTTGGTGTTGTTTCCTTTTCTCCTCATTAGCCTAAAAGTTTTTAATGTTAAGAGAACAGAAATCTTAAATAGTTTTGGTTTTGGGCCTGACTTCCC